GGGAGAATTATCAGTGAAAGGGGAATTTGAAACGATAATTCGGAACAAGAACAGACGTACTGAAGTAAAATTTATTGTTGTGAGAGGACACGTAGATAACCTCCTCTTGATAGGCAAAGATATGCTGATAGAATTAGGCATGATGATATTAGAACCAACTGGGAACCTTAAAGAATCAAACTGATAATTAAACGTATAAGTGAAATAAATGAACAAAAATCCACAAAAGAATTAATTAGAGAATATGAAGATGTATTTCAAGGAATGGGGAACATTAAGGACCCCAAGACAGGAAAAGACATTAAAGTAGAATTCAAAATGGAAGCTGGAATACAACCAATATCTCAGAACCATAGACACATACTGTATCACCTAGAGTCCCCACTCAAAAAATAGATTGAACAAGAAGAATCAGATGGTATTTTCGAGAAAGTGCCCAGAAATTAAGCCATCACATGGTGTTCACCTTTGGTTGTAGAACCTAAGTCAAGATATGCGATGAAAGAACGTAGTAAACTGGAACCAAACATAATACCAGCAAGCATAGACATAAGAATACCAAACAAATACATAAAAAGAAGCAGGTATGTTCAAGCACTTATCATTGAAGACTTCACATACCACCTAAGGGGATGCAAGGTGTTTAGCAAAATGGACCTGAAAGCAGGGTACCACAAACTATCAATCAATGAGGAAACCCGAAAATTGCTATATTTAGTACACCTTGAGGAAACTACAAATCAAAATGGTTGATATTCAGGGCGCAATCATCACAAGATGTATTCGACTGAGTAATGTTTCAAATATTTGGAGACATACCTCTATGTATGAGCCAAAGAGTGGGCATAATCCTCAGAGGAAAAGATAGCAATGAACACAACAGAACCTTAGAAAAAGTATTAAAGAGAGCCAAGGAATATGGAGTTGAATTCAACTGAGAGATGAGTGAATTTGACAAAGCAGATATCACATTTTTTGGTCGTCAATTCACATCAGAAGGGCTAAAATCCAAAGAAGTTATAAGCTTTCTTGGAACGACGGGTTACTTTGACAATTTCATAAGGAATTATGTAGTACTGAGTGAACTGCTGAGAAACTTAACTAGGAATAAAACAAAATTCAAATGGAACAATGAAAAAAAAAAGAAAAAAAAAAAGGCATTTAAAGAACTAAAGTCAGCAATAACCAATCCTGAAACAATGGTGTATTTTGACCCAAATAAGCAAACTATGCTAAGGACAGAAGCAAGCTTCCATGAAGGACTGAGTGCTACATTATTCTAGAAAAGACCACTAGGACAGCAATCCATACACTTAATCAGCAGAAGACTATCAGACATGGAAAGGAGATACAGCCAAAAAGAAAAGATGCGTTAGAAGTAAAATGGATAGTGACTAGGTTAAGAAACTACCTAACAGGAGCACCGAAAATCACTATAATAACAGCTCACAAAGGCCTGATACTAATGTTCAACAAAATCAAATCTAGACTCCCACCATGTGTAGAAAAATGGATCATGGACATAAGGGACTTCGATTTTGAAATTAAGTATGAGCCAGGAAGAAATGAGCTGGATCCATTGGATTATGTATTGAGACACTCCATAGCAGAGAACCGGCAAGACAACACAGAACAAGTGATAAACCATATCTCACACAAAGAAAACGTTGAGACTCTAGATAGAATAAGGACAATGACAAAGAAAGATAATATATTAAGAAAATTGACATCACATGTTATCAACAATGATTGGATCAAAGCTGAAAAGGACCTAGAGATAATGTCATAAAAACGGGTAAAAGAAGAAATCGGCATAATTGAAGGAATAGTATACAGGGGAGATAAGATAATTATCCCAAATTCACTACAAAAGAAGATAGCAAAAATAGAACGCTACCTAGGACTCCTGGAAAGAACAAACAACTACTATGAGGAAGATATTGGTTTCCTAAAATGAACAACATGATTGATAGAATCATAGAACAATGCTATGGATGTAAAGTAGCAATCCATGGCCAGAACCAATAAAACCCACTGTTATACCCAAGAGAAGCTGGGAGATAGTTAACTTAGACTTTGGATGACCATACTCAGACGGACATTATAATCTCGTTATGGTAGACCAGAGGTCAAGATACCCAGTAGTGGAAGAGGTACATAACACATTTTTAAAGAGACAAGGATCAAACTGAAAGAAATATTTGCAACATACAGGACTCCAAGGAAAATACTAACAGACAATAGACCACCATTCCAATCAAAAGAATTTGCGGAATTCACGGAAGAAGGAGGATTCTACCATCACAGGATAACCCCTTTACACCCACAAGCAAATGGAGAAGTAGAATCATTTATGAGAATGCTAAATAAAGCAGAACAAATTGCTAACCTACAAAATAAAGACAAGTTAGAAAGAAGAATCAACATAATAGAAATGATAATGGCATACAGAGCCACACTGCACCCAGCAATGGGCGTAGAACCTTATAAAGCCATGTAAGGTAGAGAAATTTGGATAAAGTTAGATTATAACAAACCGAGCAAAACTGAAAATAGAAAGAGATGAATAAGATAATAGAATCCAACGATGAAAAAAACAAAAATAAATTCAATGCAAACAGAATGACTAAAGAAAGGAAACTCATACCTGAAGACTATGTAGTTGTAAAACAATCAAAGAGAAACAAATGGTCCACACAGTATGAACCAACATTTTATAGTGTAATTGAAACGAAAGGCTCACAGATTAAAGCTAGGCAAATACATGATGAAAGGGAGATAATCAGGGATATTAGCCAGTTCAAACTTGCAAACCAATTAGTGAATGAAAGACTAGGTACTGACATAGAAAATAGCACCGAGAAAACTGAAATGCATGAGACAATAATGTAGACAATTATAGGGATTGCAATGAGATACACGCTAAACACACACACCAACACCAGAAGCAACCACAACAAATGAGAGGAACCAATCATAGATGAGAGATGAAACAGCAATGGCAAAAACAACAACAGACGAAAATGAAACTACAACAATAAACGAACAAGTAGACCCAGAAGAACAAAAAATATGCCAAGATATTTACAAGACTATATTTTATGAACATCGATGATGGAGGAACTCAAATCTCTTGAAGTTGAGAGGAGTGTTATGACCTCATCAATAAAGCTGACATACTTCTGGTCATCACACAAATACTGACATATGCACACACACACACACACACACACACACACACACACACACACACACACACACACAGACAAGTGCCAAATATCTTGAAATAAAAATTTGTTATTATCCAGTCATCAGAGTGTCAACTTGTGTTTCTTTATTCTTGCTTGACAAACTCACAGTTACCCTTTATAAAGCTGGTTTATAAAAGGCTTAACTATAAAAGTTGGGTCAAGAACCTTTCAGCACTTTGTAATGATAATGTTTCACGATTACAAATATTTTAATCAGTTTTCTTGTCTCTATTTATATTGTTTATTTATACATAATTATCTTTTTATAAACAATGCATAAAAAGAATATTTTTAACCCCTTGTGTAAAAAAAAAACATATATATATATATAAATAATCACTTGGCATAGTATTAGCAATCTTGTGACCAGGGATTAAACTCAAACATTCCAATCAATTCTTTGCTTCTGTCTGTGTTTTTCTTTAATTTTGACTGTAGAATTTGTAAGACATAGTTTTAGTAGTTATCGACAGGTGCAAATTGGTAGTAATGCTGAAAATATCAAAACCCATAGGGCTATTTAGAAAACGTATTAAACATTACAATTTTTTGTTATAGTTGATACCACAAGTAATATATAAATATACATCATGAAAGTGTAGCATCTGTTTAAGATTGACCACTGATTTGATACAATCTCCCATAAGATTTGTTAATTTTAATGTATGAAATATACATGCAAACATAACTATTAATAGCAATACTGCATAGGATTGCACTAAAAATCACATGTTTATCACAGATGCAAGTTTGCTCCATTCCAGTTGGCAGGCTTTCAATTTTCATCAGATGACATGAAATTTCACTGATGTGTGCTTTGGCATTAAGACTATAGGTATTGAAGGAATTTCAACATGAGGATGGTTGCCATAGTTATACTATTTAAATATATCTGAAAATTTATACTTTTTTTTTTTTTTTTTTTTTTTTTAAGGGATTTCTTTTAGGCATCTTTGCCACATTCATTTCGCTTATGTTTTTTTTCTCTTATTTGCCAATTTTTTCCCTAACCATTTTTTTTATCTATGATCTCTTGTTTCTTCATTTTTAGCCACATCCTCTTAAAAAATTAATGCTTTCATTAAAATCTGTTTTTGTTCCAGTTACAAATATCTCCGTTATCAAAGTATTATAATAATAACAAAAACAACTGTTAATTTAAAATACAACTGGTAACCAACAAAAAAAAAAATCAGTCTTCAAAAAAGATTGCTGTAAACTTTTACACATATCTAATATTTACTTTTAAGATTTATTGAATGATTTCAACCAAGTTTTGGATAATTTTATGCATGTTGTCAAAAGTGACAGCATATATGAAATTGATATTTTACGGTTTTACTATTATTAGATTTTTACATGTCTTTAAATATGCTTTTTGGCATTCTGTTCTTTTATGTAGTCAGTCTTTTCACCTCCTAACTTTATAAACAACTTCAAACAGTCCACTAATGTCCTAATAGAAAAACTATTATCTGACATTGCCAGTGTAAGGAAGATTATTTGTATACAAAAACATTACAGTCAAAATATCTGTTAGCATATAACTGAATTAAAATAATTTTAAATATCTGGTAGGTGAATATATTATATACACCAATTCTTATGGGTTTACTTATTAGTTCTTGAAACTTGATTCTATTGGTAATTTTTACAAAAAGTAAACAATGAATTATTACAATTTGTAAGGGTTGTTTTACTGTAATCCATTTTGTTTCATGACTAAATTTTTTTTTTCTATTATTACAGGACATTGGACCTTCAAGTCCACCCAACAAACGCATTGACCTTATAAAAAATTTAAGTGATGCTGTAGTCAGGAAAACACTTGAAGAGGTTTGTATATTTAAAAAAAATATTATTTTAATAATTTTTTTTATGAAATGTAATTGCATAAATGTGCACATTTGTAAGGCTGACCTTTTTTGCTAGTGTTTTAAAACATCTAGTTTAAAATTGTTATATTTATGGTGGATGAGTGGCCACTATTGCAGATATAAAGAGTGTGCATATAGAAATGAACACTACATGGTATTATCAGTTTTACATTTCAGCTGATTATGACTTGTGCAGGCTTTATATACCTGAGGGCTTATAGGAAGTGGGGAAACTAGACTTCTGTTCTTTTATTTAGGGCCAGTGTTTTAGATTTTTTTATAGCCCAGAACTTAATGTATTTATTATTTTTATTTTATTCATTTCTTTTCTGTATACTTATATATTTATATTTAAATTTATTTATTTTCTGTATTCTTTCTTCAGCTCTAAATTTTAATATTTGAAATAAAGATTATTAAGGTTGTGTGTTATTTAGTCATGATGTGATTGTAGGTAGCAGAGTAGGAATTTGTTTTTGTAACTGTTTAAAAATAAGTTCTGATCTTTTGTTTAGTAGTTCATATTTTTCTAGTAGGATGACTATTCTTATCCTTTATGCAAAAGCTATATGATTTTGAGGTATTGCAAGCAGGTGCTGTTTTTCCATATTTTTGGTATATTTTGGTTTTGTGTTTTTGAGGAGCCAGATAATATTGTGCTATCTGCATAGTTTTTCTGGTTAAATTTTTGCATGCGTAGTTTCTGTGTTTGCAAGGACTTTTGTTTTATATATATATATATATATATATAATGTTCCTTTTTGATCTTACAGCAATTTGGTATATTATGTTGTTTTGTTTGCATTTAAGATTTACTAGGCATTTGGAATTTGTTCTGCAGTTAGAAGTGGAAGTTGTGGTTGTTGTTTTTTTGTTTTTTCTTTTTCTGTTTTTCTTTATTTCTTGATTTGTAACATGTTTTCAGTACAGTTATAGCTAAGTTATAGAGTATTTTTGTTTTATTTATTATTTGTAAATTGCCATGCCTTCTTGGTAAATACTTTGGAGTGGTTTCTTGTTTCCTTTTCCTTGGTTTTCAAGAGTAGTATTCTCTTAGACTGGTTGCTACCCAAGACTAGATAGCTTCATCTACCTAGCTATTTAACCAATAACTGATGTTTTAAGAAATTGATTTATACCTTTGTCTGTGCCAATATTGCAAAAGTGAATGCAACAAATTCAACCAGAAGTTGAACTTGGCTCACCAATTCCACTTTCTACACCAATAACCATTACATTACCCACACATTCTGCCTTATATTATGGAACTGATCTTGTGTGTGTGTGTTTTTTTTTTTTCATTGATTTAGACCTAAAGTTATTCTTAGTTCAGAGTTAATTTGTTCTTTAAGTATAATATTACTTACTTTTCTTCTTCACTTTTTTGGTTTATTAATCTGCATATTGGATTAACTTTGTGGCATTTAATGGGATGAATGCTTGTGATTTTTGCAATGCAGTTTATACAAGTACATAAGTTGAGTCATTGTGTGATGACTTCTTTGGTTTTGAAGTTAATTTCATATAAAAAATGTTTAGTGACACATTGCTTTGGGTGCGGGTGTAAGACTGACAGTCAGCATGCAGTGTTGGTTTCTATATCCACCACACATTGTGTGTGTGTGTGTATTTAATATATTTTCTGTTTATATGTTACTTTTTTCTACAGAAAATATATTAAATATTTGTCAGGTTTAATCTATTTCCAATGTGAGATATATATATATATATATATATATATATATATATATATATATATGTGAACAAGTTGTATTAAAATCAGCTGATAAGGTCCATATGATTGTATTTTAACAATTTTCAATTAAGCTGTTGCACATCCAGATCAACAGAATATAGATAAACTGTTCAAAATTCATATTTTTTTCTTGGAGTACTTTTGACCATCTCCAAAATACAACCATTAAACTACTTGTTGCTGTTATCGTCATTATCATGAACTAAATCTTGTCATTATTGCCAATCCTGACATTTTTGGGAATGTTACATTTCAAATTCAAATATATATGTATGGAGTAAGTGACATATGTAGAGCGATTTCACAGAGCTTGACAACAACAGAAACAAGTACAGACCTCTCCATCAACAAACTTCAGATGCAATGGACAAAATCTGTAAGTGAAATTACAAAAAAAAATCTGCAGGAAAAAACTTACAAATTGTCAGCGATGTATTTCAAAATTTGTGGGCTTAGTGGAATGAGTAGTATTAGTTCTCAAAGTGACCATTTGGCGGCAGTGGCAGGCCTTTCAATTGTAAACAAAGACGGGTGTTCAGTATATAAAGTACGAAACATTAGCACGTGCGTGAGAAAGTAGTTGTGAGAAATTTATTATTTTTGTTATTTTGATTGA